TGGAAGCGCTGCTGGCTGTTCGGTGGTTCAGCATGCAGCAGCCTACTACTCCACAAACGCCGCCGGCCGCGTGTAACTGGACGCACGCATAAAGCATGAAAGCGAAAGGAAACGATGTGATGAGATATTCAGAGCTCCAAGTGTTGGTTAGATAGGTTTGTAAACGCCGTCTGGAGTCTGGAGAGTGAAATGCAAATGACCCTTGGTTCCGTGACATAAACGTACGGTTACGCACCCGTTACCGTGAAAAAAATCCTCAAACGGGTAGCATAATTTCAATGAACAGAAGCAACAAATAATACCGAAAATAGCTGAAACACAACTTTACTTCACGTGAAACAACGTTGGTCGCACGCACCGAGACGCTCTCGGCTTCAAATTTCACATTGCAGAACTGGCCGCAATCTCTCCTCGATCATTCGAACACTTTCGGTGTGTGAAATTCATGCTCAGAAAGGTTTGTTGTTTGGGCCAAAGGCCTTCCCGTGTCCCAGAAGCTGGGTTCGCTGCTGGGTGGGCTGCCTGTCTTCAATCAAACCCATGTTCGTCTTGGCCTATCAAAACTGTTGCAGAACATCCATATCCATGGCCCAACTGGTATACTAGCGCCAACTATGGAGTGCTGCCGTGGATATGCGCGTTTGGAGTGCGTCCCTGAAACTTGACCCCATTGCGGAACCGGATACCCAACCGCATATACCTAACAAACAATTGCGGTGGCTGACCGTTCCGAGGACTCATTACATACCTGCCATACGGCTTGTGCCACATCATACTGTCATTATGCTGGAAAGGACTGCTGACATAAACCGCATAAGGGCGCTTGCGACAGCAGCGCGGATTCTGGTGGTTTACAGCGCTTGGCCAGGGCGCTCGTGGAGGCTGAGCCCTCGATGACTCCTGGAGCCAAAGTATTGCTTGGCCGTGCGGCCGACGTGCAACAGGTGAGGAGTCGCACTTCAAACGCAGCACGCAGGCCATGCTGGCCATGCTGTGCTCTACAACCTTCCCTCTTCTTGTCAGCAATGTTGATGGTGCAAAGCATATTTGAAAAGCGTGTGCTTTCTTGCGCAGTTCCGCTATGATGGCAACTTCCATAGATTACGGTTGGCCAAAGAGCTCTGCTGTCTCCGCATCCTGTTCACTGCGAAATAAACCAACCAAGTTTGCGACGCTCTGCACTGCCGCATCATGGCTCAATAAAATCAATAACAAAATGAATATAGACTGCCGCGCGATGGATTGCGGTGCAGTGCACTGAGAGAGTGTGTGCTGGCCGTGTTGAGAAAACTGCTCACGCCCCAAGCGACATGCCCAAGCGCTCGCAACTCTGCCATAGGTCACGCAGTACCAGACCCTGCTTCACCCGACCCAAGAGCCATTACCTAATCCTCCTGCGTTTGCGGCTGCTCACATGTCTGCATGCGGAAAACCACATCATCCCACGAGCCGCATATAAGCACCTCACAAGCCGCACCCACGGCTGGTCCCTCTATCCAGCTACAGCTGCCTCCTGCGATTTATTCATTTGCAGTGGAGGCAGCAGCGGCTCTGCAACCAGCAGCACCAGTACCACCAGGTCCACCAATACCGCCGAGCGACTCCGAATCGTGTCGGACAACCGACCCAATCACCACCATAATGGTCCCCAAGGCTGCCAAGGCAAAGAGGGTGATGTTGACGGTGAAGATTCGACGGGAAGAAGGTGATGGTGACAGCAAATGTAGTAGCTGGCTGCTGAAAAGGCCTCTCGAGATGCTGGTGGTCGCGCTACGCGCGTATTTATAGAGCCGTACTGTGTACCAGCTACTACACACCGGGCCTTCATTGCCGACCTTGAGATGGCTATGGGGGGTGTTGCTGAGTGCTGGACGAGCAAGATCCTAGCTTTCCTTAAGAGTTTGGAAGCTGAGCCCCCAGCCGGTCTGCGTGGTGACGACTTCATAGTGCATTACATTACCGCTAGGTTGCCAAGGGGAAGCATACTTAAAAGAGTTCGCTAGGCGGCCCGACGCCCGGTGGGAGTGCCCGGATACCCTAGGTGATCCACGCACCTTCCAAAGTGGAAGTACCGGCGTCAAGGCATGTCGCTATCTGAACTGGATAGGCGCGCCCCCACTTAGGGGCACGCGGCATAAGTGCCTGGCCCACGCTGAAACCGCCATGCCCCAACGTTTGCATCCTGTGGAGTTGAGGTCACAGTTGATGGACCAGATTCGCATGCTGGATTGGTGGTGATTGCCGAACCCTCCGACTCTTCGGATGTTCGGGTGAAAGGATGAGGAGGGATCCCTGAAGGCTGGATCCGCCGCCTTGGACTTACAGTTCGTATGGCGAAGTACAGTGTGGTAGTGGTGGATGGTGCTATAAAGGTGATAAATTGTAAAATTGACAATGTGTGATAAAGCGGCCCAGAAGCCTCCCACTCTGTAACATTACTCATTACACGCAGTGATTTTTTTCATTTAGGGCGAGGGTCGCCGTAATTTATTCTGTACGTGGTGGGGCGCTG